CATTTTGTTTAATGTTGTGTTAACAGCCAGTTAAGTTAGCAACTATCCAGTTCCCAGTTAGTGACTATCCTGAAGTTTTGGAAGTATATAGGCTTACAGGCCACTGAGACCTCCACTGTGAACCAAGAGCAAATTAATATAGGCACAGTCATCCCCCTGTGAGAGATAAACTTTGATTTGGCATGAAACCGCACTAAGAACAGTGTTGTACCTGCAATATTTTGCAGGGAGATAGGAGGAGGTAAAAGAAAGGAAGGATGGAGGGGATGCTTGAACACCTGGGCTGTCAACCTTTGGTTGGGGCTGCACACTAAAAAGAAGGGAAGATTATTCTGATATACTAGCCGAAGGCTATTAAATTTAAAGGGCAAAGACAGCATTACATCTCTTTGAGGCAGAGTTCCTTACTATTCAGGACTCCCTAGGTGAGAGGAAAGAATATAATGTAAATATTTTATCTTTCAGCTTTTATGCTAAATTTTTATGGGAAAGGAGTTAAGCGGTTGTACTTTATTCACATTGTATTTTAAAATTTTAATTTCTGTGACCTTCCCAGAAAGCTTTTGCTATTGAGTGGTCTAGAAATGTATTATATAATCTGCTAAAAGTGCAGTTCTGTGGTCCTTACCAGATTCCCCTCCTGAAGCTACAGATCAGGGGTGTGCCACGTGAAATCCATGGGACATACAGAGCCCCCACCAAAGCTTTTCCACCCTGGCAAAATATTAAAAAAAAAAGATGTCCAGAATAGCTACTTTGAAGCATTTGTTTTGTTTGTTGTTGGCCCTTGAGTACTTCATAGTTACTCCAGAGATGAAAGGGTTCAATTTAGCTGCTCAGGGTACCGTTTTTAATTTTGAAACATTATGGTTCGAAGTACCTTTCTGCCACCATGGGGCAGAGAGAAGCAGTGGCTCACACACTCTGGTGTGGCGTCTCTTCTCAGATCACAGTTGCAATCCCAGAAGATGACTGGGAATGGTAGGAAGGGGGTGAGCTGGTGGGTGGGAAAAGGCAATTCCGCCTGAGGACAAAAAGAGCTGAGCCAGATTCCAAGGCTGCCCTGTTCCTTCACAGGTCTGGGGTTTGATTATTTCGCTGCTCCGAACTGAATTTCAAGGCACCACCAAAGCCACGCCTGCTGAAAATAACATCATCAAAGTGATGGTGGAAGGCATTTGCCTTCTGAAAGGCTATGGATGTGATTTGATGGAGCCTGTTGGTTGGAAAAGAGCCACCCATTGCGTGTGCTAAATGCTGAGGAGTGAAGGACAAACACATGAGGTAAGAAACATCTCAGGGCCCTTATATGGCACAAGGCTCAGCTCCTCCCTGGAATGATCTTAACTCTTTGTGTTGTTGCTCCCTGCTACCAGCAATAGCCTGTTAAACAGGAGTAGTGCGACAGCTGAAGCTTCCTGGACACTTTGGGCAAAGTGAGAAGAGTCCTCTGGGAATCCTGATGCCTCAGAGAGAGCTTGAAGAAGGATCTCTCCTTCATGGCTTGGCTAGAGGCCAAAGATACCTGACAATGGCTAATGCAGGCCATGCCTCATTTTGCTGTATGGCTCTCCCCTTCTTTTTAAAAGCCTTATCATTGCCTTCTCCATGCTTAGGAAATCAGCAACTGGCAAGCATCTGTAAAAAGAACAGTACATCTGTCACGGGGGAAAATGCCAGCCATATTTCATTGGCAAGGGACGGCCAATACAGCAAAACCAACACAATTAGTTGTCTCAACAGCCAGTTTTGTTAATTACCGCAAGTGGAAGAGCACCAGCAGTAATGAATCACATTTATGAGAGGGTAGTGATTACTAATTAAAGGGAAGATGTGACTGAAAGAGCGTCAACAATCGGGAGCAAAGAAGAATGTATAGGAAATGTGCATTTGATACTTATTCCTTTACCATTGGTGGCGTATTGTTCAGGTCTATGACCACATCGTGTCTGCTTGAGCTCACGTCTCTCTTTGGCAGAAAACCAGGCTATGCTCATCCATGGTGTTTTTCTTCCATTTGTTAGTGGAACGCTGCTTGGATTTTCCCCACTGCTGCCAGCTCCTACAGACATTAAGGTAATCACTGGGCCCAGCACAACAATCTCAATGAGTGTTCGAGGTTATGAAGTTAACCCTTATTCATAATTTCCAGTGGAACGTGTTTCTTGACATTCACAGTTATGAAAACAGCATGCATGCCTCGGGGAGAGAGCCTTGGAAAGCCTGAACTTAAAATCCGGGCTTTAAACATGGACTTAAAATTCACCAGCGAGCCTTATGGATTAAGTGTTTTGACAAAGTGTTTTTCAGCCTCAACCCCTCCATCCTGTGAAGTGAAAACAACTTTGACGCACCTTGTATGAGAGGAGCAGGAAAACCCGAGGCAGCGAACGGCATCATAAGCAGACTGGCGAGAGGGCGAGACTCCGCCTATTAACCCCAGGGGAGCAGGAGCGGAGTTCCCACCAAAACCTGTTAAGGCTGTAAAATCTCCCCGGCAACAGGCACTGCACAGGCGCAGCACCCGTATCTGTGTGATGCACAGAGACCACGATGAAGAACATGAGGATGGTGATGGCAAGATGACAGCATGTCCCATATTAGAGATGACTATTAATACATTTGTTGCACTCAGCAATGTCCAGCCATTTGCTCAATGCCAGGGGCTGTCACTTTGATATATGCATAGACCCAGTTCTTCCTAAGCCGAGATAGATAAACCACAAGTGATCTGGATCAAGCAAACACGGGAGGGCATCCAGTAGCACGGGGTGAGCTCAGCCCATTAATAACAGAGCTAAGCTAATCCCCAGTGCCAAGGCAAGGGCCCTTCGACTTGTGTCACGGTGGCATTGGACCATATTCTTACTAATGAAGCATCTCTGCACTGTGTAACTTAAAGCAGAGACAGAGTTTACCGTAGGGACAAATGCTCTTGGCTCGCAGCCTGTCGCATGTTGTAAAGTCAGGCACCACCTAGCGGCCAGATATTGCAGAGGACTTAATTGCAAAACAGAGCTTCGCGCTTCTGTGTCCCATGCCACGATGCCTATGCGTACAGGCAAATACTGGCACCAGCACCCAGCTGATTCTCATGTACAACACACAAAACTCCTGCCACAATATAATTTTCTGTAGGAACCGAATTCTAGTATTTTGAAGCTGCCTTCCTTCACCCTGCGTAAAGCATTTCGTGCCTTCGGTCTTCTTGTGTGATGCAGTAACAGGCTCCCACCAGATGTGATTAGTGATATCGCTAGCCAACAGATGTACACGTCCCCCTTCCTCCCCACACCACATTTGCAACACTGAAGAAAAACTAGGGTTTAAAAATTCTGTAGCAGCTGCATGCGTGAGGCTCATTTTGGCACAAACCTGTCCAAGCAACCTGGTACTGTCCACTTTTACCAGCATCTCCTCCAACTACCTTAGATGAGGGCACATCAGAGCTAACGTACTAATAGTGCACTAATCCTTTCTATGTCTAAGTTCAATTGGGCTTACTCCCAAATAAGTGTGTAGAGACTTCTAGCTTAGAACTTGGGCCATCTGAGCTGCTGTAATTGCCAAATAATTGCATGGAAATATCAAACTATCCCAACTGTATAGTACTGGATATAACAGATGGTAGACTTGGCAGTTATGGGGGAAATACAGGCAGTACACGTAGAACTTGAGTCTTCCATGAATTGGTACAGCAAGTTTTTAAGACATCTACAAGGACAGGAAATTAGCACAATAAGCAGGTACCCCCCCTTAGCATCTCTTGTCTCTTCTGACTCTGCAATTTCCTCTTTAGATTGGGAGAAACTGTAGCTAACTTTATTAGCTGCACCAGCTTTCCTCAGTCTGATACATTCTAGATGTTTGAATGTCAACATCCATCGGTAGCATCCTGCATGGATCATGATCAGGAATGCCTGGAGTGTCTTGTCCAAAATTTCTGAAGGCGACAGGTTGTGGGTGGCTGGGCTAGCTAGTTAGGCTCTGCCCTGCTCTGGTATGAACACTTCTTCATTTAGGGTGCTTCCAGATGGAGGGGACCCTACCACTAATGATCAGAAAGCGTTTCCACTTTTCCTTCTTCAGTGAAGGAAAGTGGTGAGGTAACATGGAAGTGCTATGAAAGCATCACTTGGCCCTTGTGCAAAATTCCCTTAGGCGATGCAATGGCCCAATAAAGCCTCAGTGGGAAGCACAACTTTACAATATTTTGTGGTTAACCCATCCGGAGGTGGCAATCTGCAAGCTGGCATATCTGGAATGTAAGGGCACCTATCTCCTGCAAACTTGACTTTGCCTGCCTAGCATGGCATGGCCTGCTTTCCTGATTACCGTATTTTTCCGTGTATAAGGTGCTACTTTTTCCTAAAAACATTTACTTAAAAAAAGAGGTGCGTCTTATACACCGGGGGTGGGGGGGGGTAAGAGGAGAACCACAGGCGCGCTCAGAGGGAAGGGGAGACTGGCACAATCATGCGCATGTGTGGGCGGCGAGGTGGTGCAGGTGAGCGGGCAGCGGCAGCTTGCTCGCTGGAGATGGGTAGGAAAAGTGGAGGGCGTCCTATACATGGGGGCATCTTATAGACGGAAAAACACGGTACATCAAGGAGTACTTAACTATATTTGATCACAGACCTGTGTTTGGGCCTCATGAATATCAGGGAAAAGTGAATGGCTGATATGGGTATCAGTGGCTACATGCCCTGAGAGTGGTACATCCCCTCTAGTCCCATGGGCAGGACGCCTCTGCAGATCTGCTCCTGGAGAACAGGAGGGTTCTGCTGTATTCACCCTACGTGCATCTAGCAAGCAATGGGCTCCCCGTTGTGGGTACAGAAAGCAGGACTAGATAAGCCTTTGGTTGGATCCAGCAGGCCTCTGCTTAATCTCCCCTGAGCCTCAAACACACTCCCTGAAATACTCCCTTCGGCTGGCGAGGCCTCCCAGCACGCCTCTCCTGCTGATGTTGTGACTTCAGCATGACACAGGACAAAATGTAGACACATTAAATTTATTGGCCAGCAACATCAACTGCATTTTTAAAGCATGGTTATTCTATGAGTTCAAAAAAAAAAAAAAAAAAAAGGAGAGCAGGCTCAGACTGCCAGCTGGCACTCCTGGACCTCCCTTAACATGGCACAGTATCATTCCCTGGAGGAGGGCAAAGAGAAAGCTAGCCAGGCACGTATACACCACGGTAGTCAAATACGGCTTTGAGCGACTGCAGTCAGTAGTTTCCACTTTGGTTAATAAACAATTTCTCCAGAGGAAAACTCCAGGAATAATTTATCCATTCATCCTGCAATAATTTAGATATTTGCCTTTCTTTACAGTGAAGAGTGGTGTAAAATTTGTATCCTGCATGAATATTTACAGTTCCTGATGGAAATTCTCTCCTTTTCACCTCCCAGACTGCCTTCTGGACACTCCACCATCGTGCAGCCTCCTATACAAAGCCAAGAGGACCCTCCCCTGCTCTCACACCCTTGCAAAGATGCAACTTGCTACGTGGAAGCTGTAGGAAAGCGTGCTTGTGTTAAACACCTGTCAGCCACAGTGGACAAACAGCTGAAGATGGCCATGACACATCTAGCATTTTAAAATGAACAGACAAGCAAACAAGGATTCTTCCAGGTCCACTTGAGTAGGGGGAAGGTCCCACATTTCGGCATGTAACTTCCACCAGTCCTCACCATGTGCTACACTAGCCAGGGCTGAAGGGGTTGACCCCAAACCTCTGGGAGGGGATGAGTTGCCCACACCTGCCTCAGACCATGTGATTTCCTTTGCCGCCAGGTCTGAAAAGGGAGGAAAGAGTGAGGATGAACACTGACTTCAAATGAGTTGCTGAAGGAAAAAAAACCTGCACATTTAGCAAAAATATTTAGTGCAGAGGAACTCTTGGGAAATCTAGCAAGTCCAGCAGTGGAAAGCGCTGCTTGGAGAACAATGGCCTCCTCTAATGGAGAGGATGCAGGCACTGTGGAAAGCAAGGCTGCCAGTCACTTTCCCCCACTGCACCAAGTCACTCGATGGGGGCCTTACCACCAGTGGGGGAAAAATCCCAACTCCTTAAAAAAAAAAACCCTGAAGCACACCCTGGAAATTAATGACAGAGGGGAATGGGAGAGCCAAATTCTGGGTCTCGTTCCAGTCAGACAGCACCTGGCTGCTTAATGAGACTTTGAAGACTGATGTACAAATTAGTACTGAGTTTTCTTCCCAACTCAATGAAGTGTCCTTCTGGGAAAGGCTAATTCACAGAAAGGGGCCTGCAGCATTCCCCAAAGTGGGGCTCCCTTGGTGGCTTTCAAGATGCAGGAAGCCATTTTAAACTGAAAGCCCTCAAGTTTTATATGACGAAAGTTTCCAATTAAGAAAACAAAAGAATATTGCTTGGAAGGCAGAGCACTTTCCTTCAGAGGAGACTCCTGACCGAAGGGGATGAAGGCCTGATGAAGCTGCAAGTGACCTCATCCATCATCCAGAGGGGGCAGAGCTGTCCCCAGAACTGCTGCATGCCCAGAAAGGCACTTCTCCTGGGTAGAGAGGATTTAAACCCCCGCTCTGCATCTCTCCTCTATTCCTGCCGGCAGCTGTCACCTGTCAGAGGGCCACTATTTGGACTAAGAATGCTGAAAGGGAAACATGGTGGCAGTGAGCTACTGGTGGCTTTGATGATCTCTCAGACTGCATGCTGGGCCTAGTTTGTACACATTTTTTGCAGATGGAATTCAACAGCTCCATTATTTTGGACCACAATGAAATAACCAGGCAGGCTCTGGGCTTCTCCCTCTTGTTGCATTAAGGAGGAAGGCTACTGTCTCTGGCAGAGAGGCACTGAGTAATCCAAGAATACTTTTCAAGAAGCAGCAAAAGTCCCTGCAGGGTAGATTTTTCTGTGCTGCTGGATAAAGAGAAGGTGATGGGATGAAACATGGTGGAGTTGAGCAGGTGGATGGTCTTTAAGCTCCTAGTAATGTTCAGATTTCAAACTCCTATACAAACAGCAAGTGAAGATCATCCCAAATATCTAGGAGGCAAACAGAACATGGGTAAATGCTAGGAGAAGCACAGGAACAGCCTCTATATCCTGTCGATATTCTCAGCACCTCTTGCAGTTTGAGTCATACAGGGTGAATGTGAAGGAAAGAGCCTGGAACTTCCTGCTGGTCCATGGCTTACTGGAAAGAGAGGCTGACGTGAGTCATGGGGCAATTTGTACTAAAGGGTGCAGGAAATACCACAAAGAGGGGCTTTTCTTCCTAAAACTTTCCTAGTAAAAGCTGTTTTCTCTTACAAAACGGAAAACTGCACCCAGGCACACACACTCTTTGAAAAAGAGTCAGTCCTCAATAAACTACATTTTGTAATGGCAGTTCTAAAAGGCATAAGGAACACGTTACTTCTGGGGGCTGCCTCTCTCTGGCCTTAAAATTACAGCTTATTTCATTTTTAGCTAAAAAAAAGAGAAAGAAAGGAAACCTGCTCGGAATTATCTGAAATGGGATGGGAAGAGGCACAGATCCAGCTACGGAAAATCACTGAATGACTGGCACAACTCCCATGATGTAGTAGCCACTGTTGGCTCTTCCGGTGTTTGAGAATTCGAATAGAAGAAGCTATTTAAAAAGTCCCCCTCCTAATGACGGTGCTCAATCTGGTTGCTGTTGTGATGTGTCACCACTAGAGGTTCCCTTCTGACTGCAGTACAGGCACAATCTCTGTTTTCATATCCTTTCTCTTTATCAACAGTGCAAGAACTTTATTATGTCATCTCTACCTAGGCCTGGAAAACCCAAATGGTTAGGAGCCCCTCCAACTCATTCTGGCTGGAAGGTGTTTTTTCCCTTGACATATATGAGATATTGAGACTTCCATTCTCTTGTTTAAAGAAAACCATAAATAATTTAAAATAATGGTGCGGGTCATTAACACATCTTAATTCCACAGAGAAACTAGAATTACAAACAGACAACCCACATAGAAAAGCAATACCAGTGCCTTCTGCGGCAGTTTAATTTTTTGACATTTTATAATAGGCTTATAACTATTTCTCATGTAGCCAATTGTAACTGAGAGAAGGAAAAACAAAACTTTTATACACTGAAAAGAGAATCGATGATTAACAAAGGGGAATGAATACTGGCTGGCTACTAATTCCTTGTGTGGGACAACACAATAGTTTCTTCAAACTTATCTGCAGTCCTTGTAAGCACCAAGCACTGGACCAACATGTTGGCTCCAGGAATGCCTGACTACGAATCATGGAGATACAAAAATACACAATGCCCAAAAGAGATACACATGGGTGGAAACATTCCCACACACATATAGTGCAATGTGAGATGAGGCTTAAACTATTTATGTTATAGAAAAACAAGATTGGAGCTGACACCTGTTGCTCTGACCAAGAGGTCAACTTAGGGCATAGATTACAGTAGCCAAGGAGTTTTCCCAAGTTTGGGCCTTTGAGAGAAATCTGCTTGTGTTTATGAGGGAATTTTACCTAAAAGATCCAAATATGTCTATTCCTGAACACCATTCTGTAGTACTGACCCTAAAACAAAGGGGCTAGGGCCTGCCACCACAAATCTGTGGTGAAGGAGGGTCACGGGAATTGTAGTCTGACACATCTGGGAGGTGACAGGTTGGGGAGGATAAGGCTAGAGCATCTGAAAGACCATCTCCTCCCATTTAAATTTGCATTCATCCCAACCTAGAGAGGTGAGAATAATGGATACTCAAGTCCTCCCCATTTCCCTCCTGGCCGAGATTATGACAGTCAATTCTTTATCGTTCTTTATGTGGCAAATGAAGACAACATTGTTCTGTAGAGCTTTTAACGGTTATTATTCATTCTTACTCTTTTTTGTAAAATGTAATATTAAAATAATATTGTTCTGCTGTGGTTTTAATAGTTAATGGTGCTTTGTTTTTATTATTCATCTCTAGTTTTATTGTCCAAAAAAGTTGTGTAGCTTTTTGTGATTTATATAATTCTTTTTATTTCTACATCACTTTGAACAATCAGTGAGTAAAGGCAATATTCAAAGTAAAAATGAAGAAAGTGTGTTGGCCAAAATGGCCCCAAACTTGGGAAGTGGCCAACACCAACTTGTTAACAGCATATGATTGCACTCGGACCCACAACATTTAATAAATGTTGATGACGTTCTGAAGAAAGGGTAATAATTAGGCCTAACACTTAGCCTAGAGGCTTTTAGAAGTGTAAATCGAGAAATCACAAAATGGCATACAACTGAAATTGATTTTGGGCAACACGGGATCTCTAGAAAGTATGTCAGGGAACCAAATATGTTGAGTCACGGAGCATTAAGTGACACAAATCTACCCATAATCCAACCAAGAGTATGTGCCCTAACTTTGTGAAATCCTTCATGGAAAGTCTCCATGGGGAGAATCATAAGATGATAAATCTTTAAAAGTTTGGGGTTTTTTTTAAGGTATGAAACAATTCCCCTGGAAGTGTAGCTTTTATTTGTTTGCCTCCATTTCTGAACACCCATTAGCTATGTCCACTTTGTACACACCCATAATCCAGTTTTTCCTTCGGCTGCTTTAGATTCTGCCAAAGCTTCAGGCAAATAAACAACTACAAAATTACTCCTGCAAAATGGTTGTGAAATCCTATTATAAACACAATAGGAATAAAGTATTCTTCGAGGATAATAACAGGTGCTATTTCTGTAATTGTAGACCTTTTTGCATTTATCTGATTACAAAATGATGCATATATTTCCATTTTAATTGAAATGCAGTGATTTTAACAACTGTTATGCATTTAAAAATTCCATTTTCTCAGCATCAAAGTCGCATAAGGCTGGCTTATATGCCAAACTATGCATCATTTAATGCTGTAAAACTAACACTTTAGTTTCGTGATATATTTTGTGGTCCTTGCCCAAAATAAATTTCAACTAGCCAGCACCTGAATTCTTCAACTTAGACTTCTAAACACTGGGGATAAATGAAAGGCCTAATGTTAGCTTGCCCCCAGGGTTTCTTCAAAATTGGTTAAATGACGTGGTTCTAATTGCAAGCATGGTGTCAATCATCTTGCCTTCTCTCTGTGTGTTTTTCAAGAACACTGAAATGTACTGTTTAAGTACAAACAGATTTGGGTTCAGCAGGTCATAAAAACAAACACTCAAGCAAGCAAATGCATCTCAAAAAGGCTTAAAACTTGGGAAATCGCTTTATCTACCAGGTTTCTTCTCATGCCAAAGCAAGGAGATTCTAGAAACCTACAATACTGTTCAGCTGTTCAACATGTAACAGCTTTTACATGGCTAAAGTTTTCGCAGGGGGTCACCTAGACCCTGCAAACATGTTGACTGGGTTCAGACCTCAGGACAGTCCATACTCAAGGGATTAAGTACAGGTTGTCATTGAGATGTGGATTGTTGGGTTGTCCAAATGCAGCCAAGATAACAAATCAGGGTGAATGGGTTATCCGTGGGTTATATTCATTAATTGTTTCCACTTAACAAGCCCTGGCTGGGTCCAGACCACACGACAACCCCCATTCAACAACCCATGGTTCAGCCTGGGTGTGGCTTATTGTGTTATCTGAATCCAGTCAACCAAACAGAGAAACTGACTCCCCTTTTCGTCCTTAGGAAGAGAAATTGGGAACTGGTCTACCAGGGGCAATCACTAGTGCAAGAAGCTAAGCATTCTGCCATGCTCTTTGGGAAAGATGACACTTTCATGATATTTGTAAGGTTAGGGAGAGGCAGGGTGGAAGGAAGATGTAACCATTTCAATGGTTGATTAAACACCCGCCTTCTGTAGTCTTTGATCTTTAGCAGCATAATACTGAGCAACTGGGGCCAGACTTTACTCACCAGCTACCCATTACAGATCAACTTCGTAAATCCAGGAAAGGAATTATACCTTGGTGTCTTCAAGCCCCAAATAAATAAATTTACAATAAATTTTCCATACCACTAACACATACCTGAACACAACCAATGCCGACCCCCACTGCTGCAATAATTTTCAGATGTTCTTGGATGAAGTTTTCCAGCTTAGTAATGCAGCCACCCTGAAAGAAAGTGAAAACATAATTTCAAGTTTAACCCAGGTGTTCCCAGCACTGTGCTCTTTTCTTGTGCTCTATCATATCCACATCTTTCAAGATACACATATGTGAACATGGCAAATAAATAGATGGATTGATTAAAAACAGGCTGGAAGAAATGAATGCACTTCTATCCTTGCAAGAATCTCTTAGTCAGCCTAGGGTCACACCAGAGGCCTTCTACACAGTCCAATCAGGTCAAGCAGCTGGAGTCTGTCAAGTGCCAGCAGCAACCTCTAAACGGTGAATCTAAAAGAGATGAAGCAGAGCAGGGCTCTGGGTGGATCACTTAATGATGGCATCACCATCCAACCATCCTCACTGGCCTCTTCCCCACTCCTTCCACAGCCTGCCACCCCACTGCAGGCGCAGAAACACAAGCAAGATGGTTGTGATCCAGGCATGTTTTTTTAAGCTGCTTGTTATGAGATGGTGCCTTTGCCAGTTGCCATCGCACAGCCTCACCCACTTGTAGGATGCATCTTGCAGGGTAAAATCTATGTGTGCTGGGAGGAGAGCTTCTCGGAGAAAGGATGGTATACTATGTTGTATATATCAGTATTTCGGACTATCTTGCTTTGCATTGATACACAAGTGCTGGATTTCAGTGGAAAATTAATTTCACAGTAAACTTCAACTGGCATCTGCAGCTGGAACTAGCTTTATTAGCAGTCATAAAGACTACAACTAGACAGCATCCTTGTCCAACTTGGTGTTTTCTAGCTGTGTGGGAATGCCAACTCCCATAATCCTCAGTCAGTGTGGCTAGTGGCCATTACCTTGGTGTACTGCTCACTGAGGCTTTCCGTAGAAACTGTGCTTGCAGAAGCACAAATAGCCCACAAGTCCAAATCCCAAAGGAGAGAGTAATTCCTTAGGGAAAAGGGAATGGCTTATTATGAAATCTAACACAGATACTCCCCAAGCTATCCTTGACAAGTGTACTTTAAACTGTCATGGGCACATGCAGCTTAAAGACAGAATGGAAGGGAACAGCACAGACTGGAGAAACTTTCCAGTTCCTTCTGGTATGCTGGAAGCATATTTTCTTTTGAGAGCAATCCATAGAAAGAAGTCCTACAACTCTCAGCCTTCCCCAGCTAGGTTGTTAGACTTTCATTTGCTTAAACATGGTTAGGGTTGTGTTCTTAATTCATGTATTTATATAACACCAGCCCTGTGCACGGTATGTCACTGGTTCCTGCCCCAAGGGGCTTGCAAGTTAGGAACAGAAACAAGGGAAACAAAAGAAGGAAGGGAAAGACAAGAAATACAAAATGGTGGAAAACCCTTTAAGGGAGCCCCTTCCCCCCAGTGCTTCTGTCACAGAACACTTTGGAAAAGCAGCTGGAGGGGAAAATAGCTCCGGGTTCAGCATTTGGAAATCACGCCCTGGGGCACACAGCTTAAACTGTCTCCGAACAAGCTTCATTATAGAAGTTATTCATGCTCTTCGTATGATTTAATCCCCTCTTGAGCCCTGCTGAAAATGACTGCTTCATCGTCATCATTCTCTGGCAGGATGCTCTGCAGACTGAAACCATCAACTGGCAGGTTGGGGATTGAAATTTCACGGTTCACTACGTTCTGATGCCTTCTTTCTGTGGAAGGGGGCACTTTGGGGGTGTCAAGCCCAAATTTACAGTATTCCAAATTTTATCAAACATTCCAATGGCAGCCAAGCATGCTTCAGCCAGGCCTCCCAAGAAGTAAGAGTATCTATTTGCGTATGTTTCACTCTAGAGCATAATCACATCAGGCAAAGTAACCCATGACCTGAGAGAGACCTGGTTTATATGTCATGACAGCCCAGAGTGGAGGCTGAGTCATGGGTTATGCTGGAATGGCGGTTCATCTTTACATACAAACCCTGCACTATAGTTTAACTGTTCCAAAGTTAACCCATGATTCAATGACAACCCATACACTTGTTTGTCTTTACATGCAAATCAAGCCCATGTTTCTTGTTTTAGGTCTTCCTTTTTGATTGCGGAATTGTCCCTGATTGTTACTGATGAAAATTTACAGTGAGACTCAGTCCTTAAATGCCATCTAGCATCTGTTTAATTTGCATACAGAGGGAGATTTGGCTTTTATTTCTTATTTTTTACCTCTTTGAAGATATTTGAAGGATGATCTCTTTCACCACACCTGTCTGTTATCGTCTTGCAGCAACTATCCGGCACCTTCCTGCCTTTTCCTTGGTTTTTGATCCAGTCGCTGTCACTCCAGTCAGTATAGTTATGGCTGCCGCAGCACTTAAACTAAGCACACACACAAAAAGCAGAATCGAGATGAGCCACATTTGCACTCCAAGACTGCATCAGCCTTTCACTGGACATAGTTCTGGCCTGCACAACTTGAAATCCCCCAAAGCAAAATTCAGGCAGTTAAACAGAAGCTTTCTGGAGTGCACTGTCAGCCATCCTATGTGGTGAGAGTGCTGTGTATATCCCTTCCTGGGGTCAAGAACCAATTTGGCTTTGCTGGAAATTCCAGAAGGGAGTACAGTCCATTTTAAAGAGTTTTTCCTAACCCTCTGTTGACAGAAAAAAGTACTGTATCAATACAACTTGAAGGGCGAACGTACCCCCAAGAAATCCATAAAGAAGGCATTAAGCAGGACACCATTTCTGAGTTTTTAAGAAGTACCTCCATTGAAAATGTTTATTTTCTAGGAAGACAGGGAAGGGCAACATACAGGCTGCATCCCACTGAATTCCAGGCCACTTTTTTTTTTATCTTAAAGAAAAAATAGCATCTGTAGCTGCTTCTGGGCACCAAAACAGTCAGATTTAGCTTCTAAGTTAGCTAAAGTTGATGCTTTGGGCACACCATGCAAATTCCCTGCCTAAAATTTGTCTCACCCTGCAGTGGAAGCCACCTTGGGGGACTTCCAGAGGGCCAGAATAGCCTGCCAAAGTTGCCTAGCCCTGCAGTCGGGCAGTATAATTGAAAATAAGTCATCAGCACCAGCAGTACGGCAAGAGGTGAAGCACAGCTGAAAGAATATACTGGGTTAGATCCACTGCTATACAAGAACAGTCCTCTAGCTAAACAGGACATTCTCCCTCTGTCTGTTGCAGACCTCCCTGTTTCCCAGCAGCCTGTTCTAAAGGGTTTTCCAGCTGGCCAGAGTTTTGAAGGCACAATGGAAGGCACATTGGATTCAACCCACTGGGTCATTAGCATAGCATCTCTTTCAATTGCATAACATTCACTTAGATACAAACATGCCCTCCTTCTCAGTTGTGTTACAGATCTTGTGACCTTAGTACACCCACTGAAGCAAACTGTATACAATCCACACATTTCATAACTACATGGGAAGGGCAAACGAAACAGCTACATGAAGTGCATTTTCACAGCAATGTCCCGACCCTTGCCCCTTTTTTGGAGTCGGCAGCGGCAGACCCCACCAGTTCTGTGACTGCCTCTTTTGACATCCAAGAAAAGTTGGCTGTGTTGGTCAGAGTTTGGCTGACTCCAGACCCAGGTCTGCTCGGAAGAGACATCTTTTGGGATATTCAGCTTCCAAACAATAGAGGCATTTAAACAGGCAAGTCTGGATTTGAACTTAGCAAAACAAAAACAAAAAACACTGCAATATGGGACTGCTCACATGTAGTGAGAACACATCCATTTTTAAAACAGTAGGTTGCTGTTATGTATGAACCAGATTCACAGGTTGAATATGGGTTGTGGTTGAAACATGGATCGTTACATACAAACGGTGAACTGTGGCTTAGCTATAGGTTGCCAACCACAAGCAACCCAGAAGTACCCACGATGTGTTGTTCCATTGTGAACTCTGGGCTGCTTGGGGTTAACAACCCACAGTTAAACCATAGTGCCCAATTAACATGTAGTGACAACCCACTGTTTAACAACCACCCACAATTCCACGACAACCATATTCCATCTGTGCTCTGTACTGTTAAGTGTGAGCTCAATCATTGCCACACTGGAAAGCTCAACTGGCCACCATTTGATCATGCGGTTGGAGTGTAAGAGGAGTGCTCCTGGTCACAAGTATCCTCTCCACCTTTGATTCTAGCATAAAACATGAACTCGGGCGTGAATGTATGGCCTGAGATTGCTGCACCATTAGGCAGTGAAGGGGGGGAAAGAGAGGATGGCTTTTTGGTAAATAACTTATATCCAAGTGTCAGGACTTCCTAAAAAACAAGAAATACTGCAGTTGATCCATCTTGAGCAACAGACTGGGGTAATTTCTGGTTTGCTTACTTTCTTCCATTGTGCCAAGCAGAGTTAGGCTTTTCTTAGCTTTTTTCTATCACATTACATCACATCATTCTACATTATTTCTATCCCGCTGGTTCCCTGCAAGGAATCCAAGGTGGCTTATATGTAGCTCTCTGTTCCATTTCTACACTCACAACAACCCTGCGAGGTAGGTTCTGCTGAGTGTCTAACCCCAAACCACCCACTGAGCTTCAAGGACAAGTGAAGACTAGAAACTGGATCTTCTGAATCCCAGTCCAACACTCCAGCCACTACACCACGCTGGCTCTCTAGCACCAACAGCCAGCAACATGTTGGGGAAAAAGTTATCGGTTGTTATATTCAGCCCTTCACCCTTCTCTGTTTCTGACTAATTTCTCACCCACTGCCTCACCCAGGTTTTAAGCTGCTGGGCCAAGCTGAGGGCAACACTCCAACACACATTTTGCAAAATCTATCCTCAAAACTGAGGAAGTGGACACCTCACGGTCCTTGACCATAAGTTGCCATTTAGTCTGGCCACCTGTTGAGCTGTGGGTGCAAGTGACACGCAAACACCTGTAAATGCAACAGGGATCAAAATGACCAGCAGAAGAGAATCAGTAAATATTTCTCATGGAAAAAAACCAGTTTTGCCAGGTGCAAAGAAGGTCCTAACTGGAAAAAGATTAATCCTCATATCACTATCAGGTTTTTAAGTGCTCTGTTAATCCCAATGACGAGTGTAGTGAACTAGCAATTAGTAAATCATGTCTCTTTTATGTAAATAGTCAAATGTTGTTTTTTTCAGCCTGCATGTTTGCTTCTCATACAAAATGGAAAAAAAACACATTCTGGGCTATGTATTTGCAGACACAAAGAGTAACGAATAAACTTAAATGTGATTACAGGACTGCTTTGAGTCCAAGGGTCATGCGCATATGGTTTACCAGTTCATACCTTATCAAGATTGAGGGACACCTTGAACACAGAGTAGTGCAAGACTCTCAGAAAAAAATGTTACTTTGTCAGAGCTCTTCAGATAACATTTGAACCCTGCCTGTTGGCAGAAGGGTGTAGAAGGCGCAAGATCATTGTTACTGATCGTACATACAGTACGTGAAGTGTGCGACTCCGCCTCCCCTCCCACCTCGGTTATTCAATCAACAAAGCTGCAGCTCTGGTTTTACTCACTGTTATCAGGCTTCATTCTCTGCAAGCAGACAGGATGTCCAGCATGGTGTAGAAGAGTCACAGCTAGCATGTGCTCGTTCTTTGCAAAGACACTGTAAGCCCACATCATTTCCTTCTCTTACAGTCCAAAGGAGTATCCTCTCCTCTCTTCCTTGCATTTTTCTGTAATATGTCATGTCCGCATGGAACTATCCTATGCTTCCAGTTCCGCGGCATGCGGCCAGAAACCACGGATGTTTAACCCCTGAGTAAGCTCCACTAAGATCAATGGGACTGAACCATCAGACTGCAATCCTGTGCACATTTGGAAGTTAAGTCCCACTGCACTTCACTAGACTTATCACATACAAACATAAATAAGTTGCAGCACAGGAACTAGCTGCATGAATTTTATTACATGGAGCTAGTTTTTGCAGACTGGTATTTCTCCTTCCCCTAGACATATGGGGGGGCATTCATTATCCCCACACCACCTGCCATGCTGCCCAGCTGGAGAGTCATTCAGGCTGTGCATGGGGGTGGCTGTAAGGGCTTGCAAGGATCAGGGGTGCTGCACTGCTTTGATTAGAGCAAAACCCTAACCCTAAGATATTAATATTTTTGAAGACACACCACTACCCAAAAATGAACTGTTTTTAAAGTAGTTATTTTAATCAAACAGCAGAAAGAATGAGATTGACTGTTTCTGGCTGCTAAAGCCAAAGAAAACTGAAGTCTTGCTTTGTTTCTGAAATAAGGGATGATTCTGAGAGGTTGTATTCGCCTGCCTCCTGTATGACTTACCCAGTACGTGCCATAAACCAAGTTTGTGCCTGTCTGAATTTGCAAGACTGAAATATCCAGGTCTTCCCAGCATGGCTGTCCAATGCAACAGACCAGGAACACAGCTGCGATGGGAGACGGAAAAGAAACCTTCCCGGCCAGCCCTTCCTCTCTCAGAGCTCTGTGCTCCACTGTGACTTGTATCTCCACCACATTTCTCAATAATGGGAGATTTAATGGCTTCAAAAGAAGTACAGCAAATATGGAAGCGACAGCTTTGTCACCTTCCACATTCAGAAAAGTTACCCTATTTACCCTCAAATGAAGTGCTACCTGCACTCTCACTTTCTTTTGCAATGAGGTCATTAGACTGAGAGTGGAGGGAGAGAAGAGAGACGGAAAAGTGCCCCAGCGATGCAACCACTCCATGCACCCTGCCCCCCGCCATTTATTTTAGCCAGCTGTGCCTGCACTTCTCTTGGGATTTCCTGCTTAGGAACAAGGCCAGTGGTAAAAATATACATGCCCTGTTCAGCCTCTCTTGACCAACTATTTTCCAGGGATCAACACAAGATAGAAGGCATGGGAAAGTGATCTATACACAATCCTTCAAATAGGAAATAAAAATCAGACAACCCTCTCCTTAGGGCCCTAGATGCCATCAGTCTGGCTCATGACAGCTTTCGGTGGCCCCCTTTGCACTTTATTCACAGGAGGCCAAGCTTGGTCTCTGCTGCCCAGCTGTGCAAAGGACACCTGAGATGAGCAGAGGCTTATATACGCACATTCACAGGCAAGCACTCAGCGCTACTTATATACTCCATACGACACAAAAGGAGGGGGACTGAATGTGTGCGCAGAGACCTGGCAAGTATTTATTCAAGCGTGTGGCCCTCCATGCACGTTAAAAAGTTCCAAGTACAGTATCTATTTCCTGCTTTTCTGCCCTTCCTGCAGAAATGGTGCCCAGGGTGGCTCACAGTAAAAGCCAAATTAATAAAATCTAAATGAAAATACAGGCTAAAATATACACAGAGAAGATAAAAATGTAGTTCCCAAAGAAGGAAATGCCGTGCGCGGCAGTCTCACCCGCTTGGCTGCAGGATGGTGGGAGAGTTGAGAGGGGCTTCCACACAGACTGGCTGAGTTTCTTCCTAGCCCTTTGGACCGTCCCACTCAATGAAATGGGGTCACCATTATAAATGTCGTGGGAATAAAACACAGTGAGAGGGATGTACAACCATTCTGTTTCAGTTTGTAAAAGAGGTGCTCAATTTCAAATGTAAACCACAAACAACAGGAGTACACTGGCGGCGGGTGGGGGAGGGGAGTCCATACATATCAGGACTTACCAATGTGTCTGAAATATGTGTTTTAGAAAAAAAATGCACACTTTAAAAACATGCATTTTTTTGAAACATGCAGCATGGACAAGGGCATTTTCTCATTTGAAATCCACACTACTCCTGTTTGAATGAAAAAAATGACAGCTCACAGGTGAAAAGAGGAGCAAGGTGAGCTTCACAGTAGAACTTAGAGAACCTCAAATATTCCAGTTTCTCCCATCTCCCAACAGGATACACTTTCCTTCACTACCTACCAGCATTCAGCTCTTCAGCCTAATTCTAAAAGCCGTGTGGTACCTGTCTAGACAGATGTGGATTCAGAAAATTGGTGTTATAAATAGCATGATCAAAAATCAAGAAGAGAGAAAGCAGATTTGCAACTACTGTGGTGTCCACAAACTGTTTTTGTGGTTTAAAAGAGTATCGCTTCCCATGCAAGCTCCCCGTTTCCCAGTCTTACCTCCTGCTGCAGTTGGTCCACCGCACTAGTCACGCTCTCTTCTCCCAACTTCTGGTACTTCTTGGTCATTGTGTCCTTCAGATTTTGCTTCAGCTCCATATTCAGCTGCACAAAAGAGGGCCACATAGACAGCAAACATGGCGATCATTGTTTTTCCAACACACACCCTGTATAAAGACTGCTAATTTTGCTGTAAGAATGCAGTGTAAAATGGGACCCATGGTAACTTAACAGTTCCCTAGTATGATCTTGCAAGAGATAAATAGGGCAGACACCATGTGCGATGGAGAATTACGGTATAACAAATGGATTGTTCCAGGGCAGCCTTCCCTGACCTGCTACTCTCCACATGTGCTGGGTCACAACTCCCATACAGATGGGAGCTGCAATCCAACAACCTAGAGGGTGCTAATTTGGGGGAGGCTGCTCTTGAAAACCCCCAGGCTCTGAATAAATGCTTGTTCCCCTCTCTCTACTGTAGGACTGCCTAGGCCTCTTCAATTTTTACTTATTTAAAAAAATAAAACAAAGGCAGCCTACCTCATAAACCAGCTAAGAATTCAAGCTTGTTTGGGGGCCCTGAGGATAAAGTAGCCATGGCATAAGGGCCTAATGGGATTTGTGAGAGAGGCTGCCGTATGTCCAATACTTCCACAAGTATGTTTCTGCTGGGGTCACCCAGAAGCAGCAAGAACTCAATCACTGCTGAATGAGCTCCAAGAAACACATTTTTCCCCATGTGGAAACAAGGAGCTGCCATATCTGGGTCTGACAAAGGGCCCCCAAACTGTCAACCCCACTGGATGTGGTAGAAGCTCTGCAGCAGCTCAAGCAAAGATCTCTCTCAGCCCTTCCAGCAAGTGTCAGGAACTCAGTCTTTAGCATATAAGCCTGGTTTGCATGTAACAATAACTCAAAGTATGGGCTGAGCATGGGTTGTCAATGACTTGTGGATTGCCACTGCATGTTAACCACAAACAATCAAGGAAGAGAATCCATGGTTTGTCACTGGGTTGTAAATACTGGGTTGCTCATGGTTAAAAACCTACAGCTAAACCATAGTGCAGGGTTCTCACGGAACAACAACCTGCAATTCAAGGACCCACACTAAACCAATACTCTGCATTGCTGTGTCAACCAAGTCATAAGCACACTGTCACAGTGGAGATCAGAGAGAGTGTACAGGAAAAGCAAGCCAGGAACTGACATCCAAATATAGCAGTGAATGCTTAATATGCACTCGTACAAGAGGACAACCTATTATGGGAGTGTCTGGAAAGCCATTTTTCTGCCAAATAATTACTTTTATTTGAACCCAGAAGACGTGAAACTTGAAGGCTGATAATTAGCATAAATACAAAAGGCTTGCTGGCACCAGAAAAATTTCAAGAAGACTCTCAATTAGAAAATGCCTTACAGGAAAAACAAAAGAAATTACCTGCGGGTTCATAGGGAAGAACTGCAGCATGGAACAGAGGCGGCAGAAACAAACACACAGTGGTTATATGCATACTGGGAGAAAGCGGCAGCAAAGGGAGAAATAAAAAGAGGCACGGCAAAAGACAAAGCATCTTGAGCCCTGGGAACAAGGGGAAAGGCGGCTTGCAAGGGAGGGAGGCGGAGAAAGGAGAGGAGACTTGCAGGGCAAACAGGACACCCATGGCCATTCATACCCTCCCAAGACCACAAAGCCCAGCATGCCATGCTTCCCCCACTCATCATCAAACCAGTGCCATGCATTCCTTTAGCCCTGGATTTTATTCTCCGGTCCTAGTGCAGGTTGAAGTGACGCATCATATTGTGCAACTTGCAGATTTCACCGAAAGCAGAGGCAGACACCAGGGGCCACTGGAGTAAGGGCGATACTGTGGTTTATTCCACCAGCACACGGCATGTGCAGTTCCTCCTCACGTGGCGTCGCTCTGGAACTCCTCTCCCTGCATGCCTTGCCAGGCACTGTTCGCAGGCCGCAATCCAGGCACTGCTTGGCTGTTGGGAATGGGTTGCAGGCAGGTGCTCTGCCTCCATCCTCTCCCATCTGCTTCACACACATCGCCTCCTTTCCCCCACTATTTGGCCCAAGGTAATTTCACTCAGCATTTCTCTTAAGTGCCACACTGATCTGGAGGAAGAGGAGCAGGAGGAGGGGCTCTGAATGTGGGCCAATGCCAGAGCGACAAGTAGAAACCATCCAGGTAAGCCAGAGCTGCAACCCAGGGGCTACGCACTGGTCCAATGTGTAAAAGGTGAACAAGGCAGCCTTCCAGAGTTAATGTGCTCTGTTGCACATTCCTACTGTTCTTGGGCCACCCATGTTGTGCCCCGGTGAATGAATGCTGATATCTCAATCATACCATTGCAATTTTAAGGGTGAGACAGGTAGAAGTCAGGCAAAAGTTCTACAATTCCCAGCATGCCCCAGCTTCAGCATGCGGGGATGTGTAAGACTTTCCTGCTGTACAAATATACATAGGATTGTGCTTAAAAAATCCATGTGCCAGCTGCTCTAGACCATGTTGCTGCCTGCCCCACAACTTATTTGGGTGTTACTTATACAGTAGGAGGTGCTGCTGTACCTTTGCTCGTAAGAAAATGTTTAGACTACTCTTCTATGGGAGAAGGAGTTGGACTCTTAGCCCTCCCATTGTTCAAAGAGGAAGAGAGACGCACAACATAAGGAAATTTGTATTCCAAACAGAGATGCAGCTCTGTGAGAGGGCATTTTTACACACCATGAAACTGGCTAAAAATCAATTCAATGCTGATCAATTTCATGCTATATTAAATTGGCAAACACAAAACATTAAGGGGATTGGAAGGCAAAAATCATTCCAGGTGGTTGTTTTTAAAAGAGGAGTGCTATCCATCTATAGATTCTTTCCTCTTACATTTTAAGGAAATCCAGGAAGCTGCCTTATAACAGGGAGCCAAAACATTGGCCCATTTAGCCCAGTGCTGTCAGCACTGATTGGCAGCAATGGCTCCCTGGGGCCTCAGTCAGGAGTTTTCCTGCCCTACACGGAGATGCTGGGGATAGCACCTGGGACCTTCTACATGCTCTGACACTGGGCTATGGTCCTTCCAGTCACCAGCCTGGGAAACTGAGCCAATTGTTGTAGGCGAATGCACCCAAGTAGGGCTCATAATGAAATACATTCTGCACATTCTAGAACCTGGGAGAAAAGGGGTAGGGAAAGATGAGTGCGTGTCTCCACTTCCAGTCAACTGTAGCAGTGTTTGCAGCATGCCCTCCCCTCATACACAGAGGCAATGCATGATATCAATCTCTTGGCCACAGCAGGCCTTTGCTGCGATGCAACAGTTGGTCCGGTAAGAAGGCCCCAGCACAAAAGATGTGCCAACTGGGACTCTGTGGGAAGGTTGGGGGCAGCCTCTGTGATGCTGCGCTCCTGTCACAGCACTGCCACTCTCACGGAAAAGGCAACCCAGGCCTGCATTGGGCACGCACGGCCTGCCGAGAAAAGCCAGCGGGACAACAGGTGGGACTGTGTAGAGGGAAATGGGGAAGAGCTGTGCTTGTGTTTGATTAAAGGCATAGGAAGGAGACCTGTGGAGAGTGGAAGGCAGTTCCAGTGGCAGGCTGAAGAACAAACCTGGTTGTCTTGATGAGCTCTTTGTTAGTCATTAATCACAGTTGCCTACCTGCTGGTAATAGATGTAGGCCAGGATCCCAGCAATTATCTCAAGCAGGAAGATGCACAGCAGCAATATGAAATACTGCAAAAGCAAAATGAAAGAAGTCAGAATGTTGCAGGTGAGATACAATACAGGTACCTATACAAAGATCTGTGCGAAGGGCTACAGAAGTGCTACACTGTTCCCACAGAACCGTGCCATGACAGAACGATCAGAGCTGGGATGCCAACGCTTAATGCCCAGAGAATGAGCATCACAGAAGGAGGGAGGGACCTGCTGGGATACAGCAGCACAACTGGAGAAGAAGTGCAAGAATCTGGAGATTTGGTGCCAGCCAATTGCCCTGTTTTGGATTGGAGAACATTTTTGTTTCTGACTTTGCTTTCAAGTTTCTGACTTTTAGAGTCCCATTATTCAGGAAACGGTTTCCCAATGAGTGGGAAAGGGATGTCTCGCTCCCCATCCCTTCACAGAACTGGTCTTCCTAGATCTCCCTATTTTTGCTCTGCAAAAAGAAAGGGGTACAAATAATTTTCAAGTGAAACAGAAGCTCGGGCCTAAGCAGAGCGACATGAGGGGGCTCGATATGTCTTTACAAAGTTCAGCATCAGAAGAGGCTGTCTGCTAGGCCAAGATGACTAAGGGGTAAAAATCCAAAGAAAATGAGAATCTGGTTAATTACTGCATGCTCAATTCCATCTTCCCTTCAGAAAGCTAAGAGCACATATATTGGGTTTCCTGGGCTACCTCCATCAAGATTCATATTCTTCCTTGAGCTCCCCCTTGGCCAAGCACTGAGGCAGAGAAGCAATGCAGATCACAGCCCCAGAAGCTGCCCCCGCCAAAGGAATAGCTGTGGCCACAGGCTTAATCGTTTATACTAAGTTGGAAAGAAGGTGTGAAGGTACATGAAAGAATCTCAAGCACAACTCTGACTGCAGGAGTATTTTCAAAAGAGAGGGCAATTAAAAGGACAAACATTATATGAGACAAGCACACAGTGCATTTGTGGATTTGGATCGTTATTGCTGAATAGGACAGATCATCCCAAGTCCAAAAAGGTCATTGTCCTTAGAAACAACGTGAACCGTTTCTTTGGCATTTTTTCGACTTCCCATCAAATAACCTTACTAGTATATTAGGAGGAAAGTCTTCTCTGACTAAAATTGTAGAGTACAACAAAATATAGAATATGGTTGCAGTAGGTGAATCTAACCAACAAGCAAAGCCTTTTTATTTGCCCAATATTTAATGTATTTAATATTTAATTATTTTAACTAGGTTTTAACATTGTTATGCTCAGCTATGCTTGTTATGTTATATTGTATTTTGTTGCATTTATTTATTGTTTGATTTATTTATGGTTGTATACCATCCTGGGACATTTTGTAAAAGACAGGATATAATTATTGTTAATAATAAAAAAATGGACAGTTGTCGTGTCCTATTTTAAACTACGGTCCAAAGTACTCTCCACCTGTCTTTACTTTTCCAGAGCATTTTGTACTCTTCAGAGCAATTTTAACCTATAAAGTGCCTTTTAGTTCTGAGGGTCCCTGATTACACTTGAAGAAAAGAAAATGCAGATGTAGGTGCCATGTCTGCTCTAGTCCAGGCTCTGTAATTTAAGATTTGCCACCCTGTTTTGAGCAAAGCCTGCATCTATGCAACTCCTGTGGCTCAATTACTTTAAGAGATTCAAGGTTTTCAAACACTTGTGTGCAGACTACAGCAGGAAGGAAGAGAGGCACAATGGAGAAGAAAAGGGCCTCCAGGGCTTTGGGAGCCATTTTGAGTAAGAGCTGCAAATAGAATCTAAGGCACACCCAGCCTACCAAGTGATACTAAAGGCTGAGCCTTGTTTATCAAGTGATTAGTATCTCAGGGTCTCTCAAATCCATGAGGGAGGAAAACCATTTCCTATAAGGATGCCCTGCTCTTTTCCCAACAGTCCTGCCTTGAGGTAGGAGGGTTGGAAGTTCAAGGTCCTGGATGCATTAGCTCAGGGAAGTCTGTTGTTCTTTCAGACTCTTCAGGGAGAGCTTTAGGAGCCTGCACTGAAAGAAGCTTGAAACTATGATGCCAGGTAGCTTTGCTCCTTTGTGTGAAGTCCAAGCCTAGGTGACTGGAAGCCCAATCCTGGGGTAGGAGGGGAGGTCTGCCACCTACCTAACAGCCAACATAAAGGTGGTGCAAGGATCCCATCAGACACAGGGCAGTACCACTTGCCCACTGGGAACCGTGGAAGGGACCTGGTGCAGGGAAAGTTCTGGCACTGTGCAGAAACTTCTAGCACCAACTGCGACTCTCTCACCTCATTATGCACACCTTGAAAGGACAGTGTCCCTCCATGATCTTTAGCAGATGACACATGAAGAACTATGGCAACGCAGACAGTTAATCCGTGGCTAAGCATCACTGACACTGGGAATGGAGCAGCCTACAGGTGGGAGACTCAGTACAGATGGAAGGAAGTACTTCTTCACACAACACATAGTTAAACTATGGAATTCACACCCATGGGAGGCAAGGATGGCCACTGACTTGGATGGCTCTATAAGGGAACCGGACAGATTCCTGGAGAGGGCTGTCAACGGCTGCTAGTCCTGATAGCTACAGGCAACCTCCAAAACCAGAGGCAGTACGTCTATGACCACCAGTTGCAGGGGAACATGGGCAGGAGGGGGCTGCCGCACTCGGGTCCTGCTTGTGGGTTTCCTGTGGGCAGCTGGCTGGGCACTGTGCAAACAGGCCGCTGGACTAGAGGGAGCCCTGGCCTGACCCGGCGGGGCTCCTCTTCTGTTCTTATGATGGTACAGGACCTGTCACTCTCCACTTCCTTTCAACCAGAGAGCGCTGGCAACATCAGCCTGCCCCAGAGATTTATGCTGAGCAGGAATTTGGAAAAAAATGCATTGTCATTCCGTACGTTTCAAATGCCAAGGTTCTTCAAGCTGCAATTGTCGACTATTAAAATACATGTTTCATTGCTTTATTGAAATAGAGGTGCTTAAGCATTTAGAATGATGACTAAAAATGTCCCTTTGCAGGATTTTAAAATGCCCTCTGAAGTGCATACCCCACACCCAGGCACAGTTCCTTAAAGAAAGCCCTGCCAGCCTTACCTCTGCCAGGATTGCAAGCTACACAGGCCAAGTCTGAATTGGGGCAGACGCCCCTTTCCCTAGCAGCTGGCATGCAAGCATCATCCGATGCAACAACAACACAGCTCAGTTGATGCAGGACGCCATCTCATGTGGAGTCGAGTCCTTCTAGCCTGCCTGGCAATGGATCTCCAAAATGACAGTCGGAGGCCTTTCCCAGCCCTGCTAGCCAGGATCCTTTTAGCTGGAGATGCTGGGGCTTGAACCTGGGACCTTCTGCATGCAAAACATGTGCTCTGCCACTGAACTATAGCCCCTTCTCAATAGTTTTTGCAGCTGCCATTCCTACTCTTTATTGGCAATGACGTTTGCCTTGAAATGCAAGCCCTTCAGCCGACATCATTAGAAACTCATCGCAAGCTTGTTAGGTGACAGCAGAATGCTTCGTGGCCAAGGGCAGAGAGGATTTTGGAATAGCTGAGCTTCCTGAAGCTCCCAACTTGACGAAAGTCAACAACATGCTTGCAGCAGCTTCAGCAACTTCAGCCTGAACTGTCAAGCCTTTGCTTCAAAAGAAGACGAGCATGAATGCAACAAGCAGAGAAAGATTTCTCTACTCAGATGCCCCAACCCATAAAAATGCCAAAAAAATCAATCAATCAATCAATCAATCAATCAATTTGAAGCTTGTACTATCCTCCAGATGCAACAATGCTCTGCACCAGTGGATTTATCGCAGTTCTTTTGAATTGTCCATTCACATACATAGTTAACTATAGACTGTAATACACATGGATGTAGAAATCTTAAATATTCGTTTGGCAGGAGGAAGGGACAGAGGGACAAAAAGAGTGTATCAGTCACCACATTTATGGTGTATTTCTGATCACGATTATTAGTATACGTTTTGCAATACAGTTCTCCCTCTTGTTTCTCATAGTTACTAGATGAGCTTTTATTGATTACTTAAAGAATGATGAGATACAGATCTTTGACCAAAGAGAAAACAGAGGAGACATTTTAAGTGCCCCCCAAACATGAACTTCCCTGGGGGAATTCACAAATTCATTGCAGCAGGTCATTCCCTGCTCTCTAGCAATGAAGGTATTTCTTCATCTAGACTCTGCTGGATTAGATCCTCCTTTTTCACCTCTCTGAGATTCAGCTGCCCAGCAAGACAAATGGCTCATTTAACAAGATGGTGGCATTCCTGGCAGGTGGCTTGTCAGTTCAGGGCAGTGATGCTCATGTGGTTCTGGATAGGATGCACTATATGCTCCAGGTTAGACTACTGCAATATGCGGTGCACGGAGCTACCTTCTGTTAGCAGAGAAACTGCAGTTGGCTTAACACAACAGCTAATTTGTATTGCTAACAGGGACCTGGCACACTGAACACTCCTCGGCGGTACTTCAAGAGCTCTTCTGCATTCCAGCCAGTTTTAAGCAACAGTCCAAGCTCTGATATTTACCTTTAAAGCCTTAAATGGCTTACTTGGGAGCAAGGTACACGAAGGACTGCCTTCTATGACATCATCCTGCCTGTGTACTCAGGTCAGCAGTTCCAAACCTCTTTGAGTGGGTGGGTAGGCACCATTCTGAAATTCTGATATAGTTTCATGGGTAAACTCGCAAAAGGGCTGCCAGATGGCTGCCACGGAGCAGCTTGCCCTTTCTCAAAATGGCTACCACAGAAACAAGCCCAGTCACAAAGCACTCACCTCCCAGAAGGCAAACCAGAGAGGCTGAGAGAAAAGTAGCTTACCCAGGAATCTAAGCAGAAATCAGCTGAAGGTCCAAAACACAAAACCAGTCTTTTCAGCCCAAATAAATGGCACTGAAGGGACCTAGCCAAGCTAGTGTTCCAGTTAAAAATCAAATGTTGTATTTTTAACTCTAAAAACATCAGAGAAGCAGGTGGCCTGGTAGAGCGTACAAGGCCCCAGATTTTGGCCCTTTTCCAGTTCCCCATCCACAGATGCATGGCAGGTGATGACTAAGGCTCTCCACAGAGCAGCTTACCTAGCCCCGGGGGGGGTGGTACTTCCAGACAAGGATTTTATGGTGCAATCTAATAAGAAATTTTACAGGGATCCAGACAACTCCACTGCATTCCATGTATAACCTTCTTATGTTTTCTTGCCACTTCTTCCGCCCTTTTTCTTATCACAAACTTTGGTTAAGGAAGGACTGATGGGACAGAAAGATGCACAAGGCCTTTGATTAGTAGTACTGAGGGATGTTTCTCTGGAAGGACCTCCAGTGTTGTGTCTTCCCAGCACCAGCTGAAGATGGAGAGTCAGTCTGGTGTATCAATGTTAGACTAGGACTTGGAAGAGACAAATTCAAAGCCCCACACGACCATAAAATTTACATGGTGATTTTAGGCCATTCACCAACCCTAAGCCAAACCTACCTCACAGGGTTGTTGCTAGGATAAAATGGGGAAAAGGTGGCCCTTGAACACTGTGTTGGGCTCCTTGGAGGAAAAGGCTGCATGTAAACAAACAAACAAGATTCCCCTTTTCCTTGCATTTTAATTCCAGCACTGCTTTAAGACACTGCTCTTAAAAGAATTTATTTTTAAGATTGGTGTAATGTTTATGTTCCTTCTTTTCATGCTTTTCAGTAGGGCACTGGATGCCTTTCCACCTCCTATTGTTTTCCTTTGGCTGCTTTTACTAAACTAGCCTCCCTGGATGGAAACACATCCATCCATCCATGTAAATTATATTTAATTTAATTTAAAAAGCTAGCAGCATTTGTCTGCCAGCCAGGCTTAGGTCTGGGAACACAACCCAAAGGAGCCACTCGTCCCCACGCCCTGCCGTGTCTGCTGCAGCCTCCAACCATCTGCGTGCTTGGACAAGGTGCCCGCTCATACCATGGGAATGAGTAACCTAACAGCACGTGGGCTAAGCAAAGGCTGGACTCCGTGCAAATGGGAAACTGAAACAGAAGAGAAACATGCCTGAGCTCAGGGAAGACAGCTTCTCCTCTGCTGGAGACAGGTTAAGCAATGCTACTGACATCACCCCTCCAATCAGGCAGATCCATTAGGAGAAAGGGAGCACCCTGCCAACAAGCTGGGAGCCGGCTGCCTCCTGCACTACTGCTCTGGCATTACCTCATTTAAAGCAAGCTTCTCTTGCGCACCGCCCCGCTCCACGCCCAAGCATGCTGCTGAGCTTAAGGTGGTTCTACTCAGGGCTCACACAGATGGCTCCGGACTGAAATGTGCACAGCTCTAGGATATCAAAGACCTCCTGGATCACAACACATTTCTTCCTAGTTGCCTTGGATTGTTTTCCCTAATGTGATTTGGCAACCCCACAGAAAATTGGCTACAGCAGTAATTGCATTGCCAGAGCCGACCAGGCTGCAGGGAGACAATGGGAGTGCAGCCAGCTTTCTGCTCTTTGCCACTTACTTCTTTCCCAGATAATCCGGCTGACAACATGCCACAAGGAGCAAACAAGATGCACCATACCAAACTGTCTGCACAGTAAACAGCTGCAGATGACTTATCAGAGTCACATGCTAGAGGAGGAGCAGGGGGAGAGGAAATCCAGCAGAGTCACAATTAGCTGAAATGAGAGGAGTGAAAAATATCCCTTTCCCAGTTGAGGGAGATCAGAGACACACCCAAACTAATGCTACCAGTTTCTCCGGGATCTCTTCAAAAGAAGATTTTAGGGAGGCCAGAAGTATTTCCTACCTAATACCTTGTAACTTAGGGCAGCACCTGACAATGAAGTGAAGAAGGGTGAAACAGACAAACCCTAATGTAAGAGGAAGAGAAAAAGAGCGAGAGAGAAACTGAATCAGTGCCCCCACTCCTGAGTAAGCCCCTTCTTACAAAGGAAAGTCTTTCAGCTTTGAATAAACACTGCCACAAGAGACACTGACCTGCACACACCACAATGACCCACTAACATCAAGGCTGTTCTGTGCCACTATGCTGATGCTTGGTGCAGAAGAAAATGGGGATTTCCTTTGAACCAGAGAAGGCTGACCACACCAGCATGCTCCAGAGATGTATGTTCAGCAGATTTTTTAAAAGTATCTGTCATTCTGCACATTTTTAGTTACAGTCTAAATGCCAAGGTTCTTCTAGCTGCAATTGTCGACTATTAAAATACATGTTTCATTGCTTTATTGAAATAGAGGTGCTTAAGCATTTAGAAGGATGATTAAAAGTTCCCCTTTGCAGGATTTTAAAATGCCCTCTGAAGCTCATTCTTTACATCCAGACATGGTTCCTTAAAGCCCTGCTGGCCTTACCCCTGCCAGGATTGCAAGCTACACAGGCCAAGTCTGAATCGGGGCAGACGCCCCTTTCTCTAGCAGCTGGCACGCAAGCATCATCTGATGCAACACAGCTCAGTTGATGCAGGAAGCCACCTCACATGGAGTCAAGTCCTTCTAGCCTGCCTGGCAATGGTTCTCCAAAATGACAGTCGGAGGCCTTTCCCAGCCCTGCTAGCCAAGATCCTTTTAGCTGGAGGGACACAAATTTGTTCATAGCCTGTTACCCTTGTCACAAAGATGCTCAGGATGTGAGCTGAGTTCAGAGTTGGCAGAAGCTTTTACGCTAGCTCAGCCTAGCTGGCCACAAAGTGTTTGTTGTGCACATTACTTAAGACCAACTAAACCAGAAGCCAAGAGACAGGGGACAATAGATCTGTCACAACCAGCCACTCAGAGGAGGGAAGATGGGAACAAAAGGATCTTTTCTACCCTAGAGACAATTATTAGTTTTCTGTGGCAAAACAACAAGAAGGGGCTGTACCAAATTTTATCATTTGTAGTTGCTGGCTCTAAAGGGCAGAAGCAAACAAAAAAGAGGGCACTTTCCAGCACAGTGAACTATTGTGTGCTTGCCAAGATGGAATGGTGTCGTCTACAGGCCATGTCAGTTCCAGTATCTTCACAGATCATGAGAAGCCCTTGAAAAATCCCAGGATGCCTTCACCCTTACAGTACAGTATTCTTTGTCACGCACACAGGAAGAGCAAAGCAAAGAGGGCTAGTTCACACATGGTTTTTTTCAGCCCAGCATCAGTAAAGCATTCAGTCTTCCCCCACCAACACATTTATCTGGAGCAAAACTGCACTTGTTTCCCGCAACACAGACAGAGAAAGTAACATGTGACCGATCCTTTAGCCTCCATCTCTCCATCCTGATTCTCTAGTTCTTTCTTAGACCAACTGGCCCCGCTCAGTACAGCTGTGAAGTCAAAGAAAACCCACCACTCTCAGCAGGTTCCGCTGCTCTCTGAATGTAGCACAACAGCCCAAGATGCCGGTGATCATGACGACGACACCCGCCATCACCAGGATGTAGGCGGTGGCCATGTACGAGTTGGACTGCAAAAGGCTAATGTAATCGCTCTTCTCCACCAGGGTCCAGATGCCCACAGCCATCACGGCTCCGCCAGCCAGCTTCAAGAGAAAGTCAAAGTGAGTGACATGCAGCTGAGGCAGAGGTTTCCCCTTCTAGATAAGATGGCAATGCCTAGTAGAGGGGACTTGCCACCCTCCAGATGTCTTGGCCTATAACGTGTCTCCATCCCTCATTATTGGCTACTTTGTGTGAGGCTGGGAAAGCTGTGGGCCAAAACACTTGGAGGATACAGGTTGTCTAATCTCAAAGTAGATCCATGGCCAAGCGAATTACCATTTCAGTCTCATTTTTGCCTGTCACGCAGGAATCTGTGAACTTATTAAGATCAAACCAACAAAACTGAGTGATTTCTGTTATCACCAAATGTCTAACAGCGTTCTGATGGGATGTGTCTAAGCTGTTGACAAAATTTGTCCTGCTCCTTCTAGGACCTAGGGCCACCTCGAAAGGTTCACACACTCTTGTTTGACTACGCATGCCAGGAGCTGGTCAACCTTTCCAGCCACCTCGCTGCTGCCATGTGGTCACCCAATGATAGTCTAGATACCATTCTCCCTCCCTTCTCCCCCCAACACACACACACCTCCCTCCTGGAAAGATTGCCCTTGTGTGGCAATTTAGCTTTAAAAAAACCTTCTGTGGCACCAGTGCAACTTTTTTTAAGGTCTTCTTGCAATGCAAGGGGTAATTTTTGAACATTCAGGCAGGGGAGGATGAGCTCTTCCTTCCACAGCAGCAACCCCTCGTCAAAATACCCCGTGATGCACCAGCAGCAGTTTTTTTTTAAAGCCTAAATGCAGCATAGGCATCAGGGAAACAGCTATTATCTCCTATCAGATCTTCTCCACCTAGGGTGGGATACTAGCTAGGGAAATCCCACAGGCCATACCCAGCCCACAGACCCCATACACGTTTATGCACTTAGAAGGGCATTGTGGCCTTTAAATTGCACAGAAAAGCATTATCTCTTTGCTCCAGAATACCCCAAAATTCACTGCAAGAAGAAGTAAGGTACAGAACATGGTTAGAGTTGACTTCTTACCCAGAAAAAGAAGTTGAAGATGAAGAGCAGGTACTTGAGACAGATGGTCCCACATGTTTCTTTATTTTCACCGTACTCACGCATTGTTACAACTCAGCAGAACTGTGGAAAAGCCAGGAAAAAAGAAAAATCAACTCTTCATTGCACACTGTTTCACTACCTCCCACTGCCATGTTGTTTCTTCCAAGATGCACCTTAAGAAAAACATCTGGAAAGAAACTTCAATCTTTAATAATCCCACAGCCTTGGCCCTGATGTAAAGAGAAGAGGCAAGCCTGGCATTAGAATCACCATAACAAGGAAATTCTAACCCACCCTTCCATGAGACTCTGATCCCAAAGTTGCAGTATGCAAAGCCAAGTTTCTCCTGCTAATCTCTGTGAGGGTAGCTAAAAGCTTCCGTCAAGTTGCACTGGATCCAGGGCCCATATGGATTTCTCACCACCAAAGCCACTTTGAATTGAGCCAAGAAAGCCACAAAATGTCCCAGCAAATGTAGGAGAATTGGTCCTGCTCCTATTTCCCTTTATGATGGTGAGTTTTAGAAGATGGTGAGTGCTCAGTGGTACAGCAATTCTGCCCTAAATTTGCTCTACAGTCAGGAGTCTGCTGAGAGCAGTGTTTTGCCTTGTTCACACTGGAAAGCTTTGCCATCTGCTTAAGAACTAGCACATTACACTAGAAAAGGGGGTGAGGAGCGCCATGATGGGAATAGGCCACTTCATACATCATGCTGGCAAATCGTGGGTTAACTAACCCACAATTAGCTGAGATGCAGCTATACAGAAACAACTTCTGCCTTCTGTGAGCAACCTTTGATTCACCCAACTGGAGGTTGATAGTGACATGAAAAAGCAGACTGATGGGATGTTTAGAGGCCAAATAACCCAGCAGTTAACCTAACCAAAAATAAGTTAAGTGCAGGATTCATTAACCCCCACCCTAACATGCCTGGATTTACATGTCACAATGACAACCTCTGACTGTGCTGATCAGGGTTTGTTTACAAAAACAGGACAAGGTTTGCAAGGTGGTGCACATTCCCATGAATCATGGGTTAAATAGCCCACAACATTCAACCGTGACATATGACAAGGCCAACATGTCCATCTCCAAAGCTGATCTATTTCAGTCTGTCCTTTTTGTCCCCAGTTACTAAACACACAAATATTTTCTTTTTCTCACAGAAGATGTGACAGCATAGTTGGCAGCAGGTGGCATCCACGAGCAAGGGGGGGGAGACGTCCAAGAGAGTATCAGGATGGGAACAGCAAGGCTCATTCCTTGGCTTTCTGACAGCTCAGTCATCATGGAAGATTTCCACGCTGCTCTATCAACAAAGCTCAGATGCAGCCACTCATCCCTGAATTTCCCAGCCCTGTTGATTTTTTCAATGATTTTCTACTTGTAAAGAATCAGAGATTGACTATTCCTGGGATAGAAACCTTTAGTTTACATACACAACAGATTATTCACTGGTATCAATCACTCAAGGGGACAGCTGTGTGACAAAAATAAACTGATTTAGTTGTTATTGTAGCTCATCGCCCACCAGCAATCCTGGAAAGTACAGATTCAAAATACGATTCTTGGTCAGTGATTCTCAGCCTTCTCTCAGCCCTACAATTCTCAGATGGTGTTGGAGAAAACTAGGCCAGCAATCTGGGTCAGAACACTCTGCAAAGTTTCCACCCATACGTGATCTGATAATTAATGGTAGGCAGAACATGTGCATTTAAATTTTGTAAAGCTGATGGTTCTAATGGCTTCTAGACTAATGCAGAGCATAAAAATAAATGAAATGGAAGAGCTGAAATACCTTAGGGCTAGTTCCATGTCTAGATCATGCACTGCACCTAAACATGTCACTTAATATGGAAACCATCCCTTTTTTGATAGAAAGGGAAAGGAAATCAGCAATACTGTCTTTTGGTGGAGGAGTGGGAGGAATGGCTGCAGGTTCATTGCAGAGCAAAATTTTGTATCAAAACACAATGATTAATCGAATGCATCATGCCCAAAGCCAATAACATCTCCACAAACACTGTACCTTTTTAATTTAAAAACAATTTTCCCCAGGAAAAATGGCACCCTAGTTGGCTACAGAGGGACAAAAGCATGAAAATAAGCAAAAAGCACCCTCTAGATTTTCTACCATTGCCCACACCTACTCTATATGCAGATACAGCAGCACATACAGAGTAACTTCTGGGAGCAAGATGGACCTTACAGGGCAGGACCTCTATCTTGTAGAACACTACGTGATCTCCTTGAACTTGAACTGGTATGGAAGTCAGGTTCTCACTTTTTTTACTGAAAGCCCACATTTGTTTTAAGAAGTCCAAAAAGGAGATTCTTCACAGCATCATTTTGCTGCCCAATTTTCCCATCAGTCCTGTACCTGCTTCCCTCACTTTCCTGGATTGTACTGAGGCTAGCGCTGTTCCCCTTTGCCGCATGCTGGGAAGAAATATGGCTTGCTGGCTGAATTTAAGGTCAGCACTGTGGAAGCCACACCTGTGATGCCTAAGCCCCCTCCCAGGGCACAGCAAACTTGCAACCAGCCGCACTGTTCCCTGCATCCCTCACACGGACAGATCAGTGATGAAGAGGTGGCCACATGATACAAAGTGGATGTTATCAGAGGCTCACCACACCCAAAGGCACACGCTTCATTTTAAAACAGTATCCATCTAAGGAAATGAACAAACTGAGACTTCTTTGCTATATACAACCATTAAACAAATTATAATTCAATATGCTTAAGAAAGTTGGATAGCTTGGCTATACTTCTGTACATGGTATACAACAGCTGTATTTTGAAGATTCTAAATCCTGATTGGCCAATAGATTAGATTAATGTGTGCTAATGATCTGGATTACAAGATCACCCTAACATTATCACCGGAATGGGCAGCTTCCAAATATTGTTGGGATGCAACTCCCAGGATAACCATTTTGCAATCTAACACCATCCGGAGAACCCTAAATTACCTCCCCACCCCCCCACCCCCCCGCCTTCAGACTGCAGGGGACATTGTTCTGCCTCAACTTACATAAGTTTCTTGAAGCTTCAGACTAGTGTTTTCAGATCATCCAATATAGTTGTACTAGCACAGCAGGAGATTGTGAAGAGGCAGTAAAGAAGGATTTGTTGATTTCAGTGTTGCAGACAGAGGGCTGCAAGGAGATTTATGACACATGGTGATTCATGCAGGGCTGGTGGCCAGCAAATCATTGCTAGTCTCCGTTATCCTGGCCAGGAATAGCATCTCACAGCACAACAAGACTGTTCTTGCATCTAAATTGGTAAGCTGCAAAGAGCACTGCTGGAAATTAAACATGCTACACAGGCTCGTCCAGCACGTGTATTCTTTTCTTTGTTAACTGTCTAGACTTTTTCATACCACCACAGAGATGAGAAGCTGGTGTAACTTATGAAGAACTGACTATCAAGCACCAGAGCTGTGTATACACTGCACTACTATACTCAACCCATGAATTTTGCATTGCAGTAATCTGCATTCACTGCTCAGAAAACCTGGAACCTGAAGCACAGCCCCCATAAATTATGCAACTCAGGCAAGTGATCATATTGCACAGCATCTTTTACTCTCTGCAAGGGGGGAGAATAAGTGCCTTGCATGCAAGCTCAAGCTCCCTTGAATGCCTGAAATTCACCAAGTTACTGCCTGCATAGCTTTCAGCTGGCTATTTACATTTCATAAGGGCTTGAAACATCCCTTGAGGAAGAGAAAGAAAAGCAGGGTTCTTGGGATGTTGACCTTTGCATTCAAGTAGATAATTCCACACTGGCATACAGTTGCAGAGTACAATGCAGCCCTGTTCAATGCTCACAATACTCATCTGAGCAAAGGCAAAAGTTAGCAACCTACTGCAAGTTGCCACAGAACAGAAATCCCTCCAGCTTTAGGCACATTGTCTCAGCGTGAACATAATACCACTTAAGGCATTCTTTTCCATTTTAATTAAAGCCTATCCCATGCCCCACCCCCTTGCTTTGCTTATCAAAAATCAAGGGCTGAGAATGCAAGCTGAACAGATCCCTGCAGAGCACCAACCTACCAAGGGTGGAACTGCTCTCCCTAGGCCCAAATTGCCATTCAGTCTACACTGACCCCTGTGAAGCTTCAGCAAAGAGTGGGATGAGCAGTGCCACAATGAACTGGGCTACCATCACCCATTGCCTCTTGCGGCCACAGCCACTGACACATACCATTTGCTGAACTCTGCACAGATCCTTTCCGCTGACCATGCCAGCCGTTAGGTCGGAGCAGCTAGTCCCACCAACAAACCTATAAGGGCTGCCAGCACCTGTCCTTGAACCAGCACATGCAGTGCTGGAGATGCCAGATTAAATCCTGTAGCTGGGTATTTAATACACCAGTATTCTCCTCTAGCTTCTGTATAAAAGGGGTGCTCGTGTAGCTAAAGCAGCGGTGCAAAAACAGCAGCATTTGGTTGCATCTGGCAGCTTTTGGATTTGGACCTAGTGATCCATCCTCTGGCAGCTCCATGTAAAATGAAATGAAACAGGGCAGAGTCACCTCCACCAGCTGGAGGAGGGAAACTACCTTCCTCGGTACCCCCACTCCTGCACCCAAGGAAGCTTACAGGGAAGGGAAGCTGAGAATGGAGCAGCTAGGTGGATGCAAAGGGACTTCCCTCTACAGACGGTAAAGGAATTCAACCTTGAATTTAAAAATTTTCCAGTCGGAAACTCAGGAATGCTTTCACTTATTTAGGGGTTGCATGATGAGAATCTGCCAACAAGTTTTTTTTAGAGAACACATCAATACATAGCTCTCCAGTCATATTTCCCAAATATTTAAGCTTTGGGAGAAATGGAATTACAGAGTTGAAAGAGATCAGAAAAAACAGCCCTACAGTGAGGAGGACTAATCCATCCACTACCAGATCAAGTGACTCATTTCAAAATGCAACAGTGCCCTGGTTGTTTTTTTAAAAGCAAAATAACTCCAGAGCACTCATACAGTCTCTGTGGATCTGAGATCCTCTGAAAGGTGCCCTTGGCTCTTTTTCCTTCTCTGCTTGTGCTTCACTCCAAGAATTACATAGGT